TGAAGGGCAGTACATAGATTTTCCATGGACATTATACAGGGAAAAGTGTATTGGGAAACATAGGGCTGGCAGAAGATTGCTCCAGTGCTTTTACTTTGAGAAGGAAGTTTAAACTGTGTGACCACTCTACTCTGTCAACATAGGCACCGAAATAAAAATCAAGATGTTCGGCCACGTAGACGATGATAACATGCGGTGGGAACAAGCCATGAGTGACTCCTTGTGCTACAAGAGAAAAGTTCTGTGTTACAACAATCCCCTGATAATTCCCAGTGACAAGGCACAGCACCCAAATGGAGTTTGACGTTGTTTTTGTTTTTCTGCGACTAATGAAATGTGGATTGACTAAGTCTCTTCTCAGAGTCTAATAATTAAGTTAACTATTAAAAGGCAGCCCTAAACGATTCCTTTATTCAGGTGATTATATACTAATGGAAATAATGAGTGAATATAATATATTCCATTTCTACTAATATAACCTCCTAAATGTTACACACTGCACTTAGTGTGGTCATGGTCTAATTCAGGTAATTTACTTTTTCAGAAGCCACTGAACTGACTGACTGGGACAATGCCTCGCACACATTTTGTCCTCTGCCTTGCACTTTGCTCCAGTCCAATCAGTTCCTTTTGACTTTATAGTCCACTGGATTGGGTTCCTATGGAGGAAATGAATGCTAACAATGTGGCATTTAGAAATGAGCTGTAGTGCCTCAATCAGATCAGAAAATTTAAAATTAACGGTTTCGAATCACAGCATTTTGTATACCATTATAGCAATGATAAATATGGGTTGTGGATGCTGGGTAATATTTCTTAAGGTGATCCCATTTTGAAAATTGAATGGAATAATTTCCTCTCTGTTAGTGGTCACATTCAGTTCAATCAACCCCATCCCCCTGTCTGGCACATTTTATACCTGGTTTAAAAGGTCCCCTATCAAACACTGAGGGTAGGAAGAAAGACAGAATTATGCATGAATGACTACAGACCCGTTGCTCTGACATCTGTAATCATTAAGTGCTTTGAAACACTTCCTCCAACTAATCACAGACCCTTTATTGGACCCCTTACAGTTCGCCTACAGAGCCACCACTCTGTGGACAATGCTGTTAACCTCAGCCTCGACCGTACAGTATCACACCTGGACACGCCCAGCATGTATGTCAGGGCTGTTTGTGGACTTCAGCTGAGCTTTTCATACCATCCTCCCTGACTGTCTACATACCAAGCTACTACAGTTGCTGTTACCCCCATCTGGATCAAAACCTTCCTGACCAACAGGAAGCAACAGGTGCGTCCTAGCAGCCACCTGTCTGTTCCCCTAACCACCAACACCGATGCTGCACAAGGCTGTGTCCTCTCCTCTCATATCTGTTATCTCTGTACACCAATGACTGCACTGCTGTAAATGTTAGCAAATGGTCACCTCATCACACATCTAGCAGACACAGAAGTTTGTAATCTAAGTCCAACATTCAGTCTCCTTTTAGCCCTTTTTTGCTTCCCACCAACTCTTGAGGGAGAAATCTTGCTTTCTAGCTGTTGATTTGCAGCACATGGCGTCTATGGCGCTGAACTGCTCCGTCTGGCACGCACAAGGCATTTACACTGAGGGCGTGTCAGCTGTCAGTTTACCTTGTATAATGTCCATGAAAAATTTAAATGTTATTTAATTTTTAATGCCATATACACATTAAAAAATAAGAACCCACAGTACACATACAGTAATCCCTCTTCACAGGTTTCTACCAAATTGACCATCTGGACCTTCATTGACATTATAGGCACCAAACCAACAATATAAGCAGCTGCTTGGTTCATTGTGTGCTTGAATCACAACAGAAGAAGTCCCTCCTTTGCTGTGCTTTTGACTTTCCACTGTGTCTTCGGACAATTTTGAGATTTATTCAGCATAGGAAGTGTAGCATACTCTGTTATTTGTTAATTCAAAATATTTACACTATCTCAGTAATTCAGTAATTATTTTAAATTCTTTAGCGCTATTAAGCTTTATCTCTTGCACAAAAAAAGGAGAAAAGGGTGAAGAACACGGGTTAATCAAAGGAGGAGGCAACTTGGAGCTTTCCACCATCTGGCTGCAAAGCTGCGCACCTGAAATATTTCAGAATGACTGCAGATCATCTTCTGTCCCTTGTTGGAACAGACCTGACCAGGCGGCAGCTTGCTGTTACACTGACGTAACTATAATTATTTAACATTTGAAGAGCATTCATTGTGGAAGATCAGAGTAAAATAGACATTGTAGTTTAAGTGTTTTTACTGAAACACTAAATAAACAGAGCATTTCTAGACACCACTTTAGAAAATACAAAATAAGTACACTGTACAAAGTATTTAAATTCTCTAAACAGGTCTGTACATTAGTAGCCTTCACACACAGAAAAAAGTTACTACTAATTGAAGCCTGTAAAATCTGACAAAAAAAGAACCTACGTACAACTTATTGAAAATAATGAACTGAGGTTGTGTGGTTGGATGGCCAGTAGTAATAACTGTATTCACACTGGTATCGATGGGTCTTCCAAATCGTCCAGAATTGGCATCTGGGTCAACTGTTGCTGTGTGTTTGCATTTGGGGGAGGAGGTGTCTGTTGATGGGCCTGGCCCTGCTAGTAATATGATGTGGATGGATTATGTGCAAAATCCTGTGGGTGTGTGAGTCTGCTGTGGTGGGCTTTGTCTTGGGCCAACAGATAAAGATAGCTGCCTGAAAGTTCTGGTCAAAATGGAACTTTCCAAACTGCATAAGTGCCATAGACGGGGAAAATGTCACCACTGAAGCACCAACAAATTCAGGAAGCCTTTACTTAAACTACAACAAGACTTTCTCTATTGTTCTTCTTGCCCTGGTTGGTGCAGACTGCTGTTTCACATTTGTCCAGGTTAGGGACTTTGGATGTGGTGGGTGTGTGTACTTCAAGTCTCTGCTTGGAAGAGGCATGGAGGCAAAACCACTAGATGTGCCTGCAGACAGCCCTTTACTGGGCTCGGGAGGGCACGGTCCTGTGCCATACACTGTGGTGGGGGATGCTGCATTCCCCTTGAAGAGCGATCTAATGAAGCCATTTCCCGGTACAAACATCCAGGGGTAGGAGGAAGATCTTTAATTGCAGACTGTCTCCCGCCATGATGATGGTGGAGTGCTTTGGGCACTCTGTCAGCACAATGGAGGGTACTACACACGCAATTTAACTTGAAGCCTGAACAATTGGGCTCTGTGGTCATGACAAGCGTCGACCTCCATAACTACCTGACAAATCCATCTGAAAACCAAAGGTGGCTGGATGAGGCAGAGGAGAGAGGAATGGGTCTCCACCAGTTTTGAACCTGGACAGAAACAGGGGCGGCAGTGACCCCTACAATGTGTGGGAGAAGCTAAGCACATGTTTCACCTCCCCTGAGGGCCAAGTATCATGCCAGGACAGAATGGTCTAGGAGTCATTACCCAGCTATTGCACAACAATGTGAATGTAAATGAAGTCATCAAGAGTGATTCCCTATGGCAATGTCATTAAACAACAAATGTTGGATGCATTTTTCTTTTTTCGTGCAGTTAATTTGAATGTTGACCAGCTTAAATGTGTGTTTTTAATGTCATGTAAAAATGGGTCTGAAAGCTTTAAATAAATTGCATTTGAACTGTAGGTCCAATTGTTATTGCTTACAGTGATATGCAATGTTGGGCAGTAATTAATTACTAGTAATAATATAACTTTTTCTAGTAACTAGTACCTAATTACTAATACATTTCAGTAATAATATTACAGTTACTCTTCAATAAATTACGTCACCCTCTACTGATTTCTAATTTTTGTAATTGTGGAGGAAACTAGTTTGGAAGATGGAAACATTCAGCAGCTGGAAATATTCCAGTACTTTGATTCTAACAAACAAAACTAGAGGTCTCAATTTTAGGATAAAGGGACCTAGGCAAACTTTCAAGTGTGAAGGATGGTGCTTGGCTTTGAGAAGGTGGGGAAGGGGTATGAAAATGGGGCCCTTTAACAAAGACGGTCATGACAGTGAAATGGTCTTTTAAATATCTCAGTGCAGAAAACAGCTATTAATTAACCAAGTATAGACACTTACAGGATAGACAATAAAAATGCCCTATCTTGTCTCAAAGATTTACTACGAAGGGATACAACAAGTGGGAGGGAAAGACTGCATGTCATGTATCACAAAAATATAGCTCATATAAACGTACCCTCTGCATAAACAGCTGTGGCAACTGCTTCCCATGCCTTTTCTTTTTTTCTGAGATCTTTATAAAACGTATTGTGTTGGTCATAGAGCTCTGAGTGTTTGGTGTCATCCTTCCTTGAAGACTTCTTGTACTTCTACACTTGAGTCTGTGTCAAGTACAAATAAAGAGTTTTTGTTAATGAAAAAGAGGAAAATATAATGGCAATTGGCAATTCTAACAGGCACAATAGGCAGATCCTTGCTGTTGGAAACAATGCTAATGACAGCGGTGAGACTGAGCCAAGTATAAATTATAGGTTATATAAAACAAAACAATTAGTTGAAAGATGCTAAAATCCTCTGTAGAGATGAGGGAGACTGTGGATTTGTACTTGTTGACCCCTTTCACATTACACAAAGTCATTTGATCCATTGTTAATTTAAAAATATTGATTGGTGCAGCTCTAACTCCCTCCCTGCCATCGTTGTTTCATCCAACAATTCCTCCAACGTCCTTTTTTCATCTCTTATCTATCTCAAATGTGTTTAATTATGTAATCTAATAAAACTCTAAGTAATTAAATGTGACTAACATTTCTGAATGGGTCCACATGTTGATCACATTTCCAATTTTTGTCTGTCTACTCCTACTCCATATGACCTTTATCTAACACATATAAACACAGTCACCCATCCATCCATAAAACCTATTGTCAGCCAACTCTGTGTTGGCTTTGGGTGCTTTTCATTAATCTGTGTCTCCTTGCTTCCCTCGCTTACTTCATTCCCAGCTCCTCCCAGCGAGGATGTGAGAGAGAGATGAGAGGAAGAGAGGAAGAGAAACGAGGACGGCGGAGCCAAGGCTGCCAAATGAAAAATCCTTGGGTCCATAGCCAGTCCTTAGACGTTACTGCTTTACCACCTGTCAAATCAACTGCTACAAATGTCCATAGAACCCCTTATTTAAGAACAATTTCAAACCTTTACACTGTTCATTTAGGTATGTAAAATGTAGAATAGTGTTTAGTAGTATTATTACTGTTGCTGATTGTAATGATGATATAATATTTCTTTAAAATCTTCTAATTTATGTATGGATCAGTGTTATTTGTTATGATGACTTTGTTTTTTTTACTGCATTATTGTTATTTACACAATAATACACCACATACAAATGTGTGTATGTCAATTGTATTGTAAAATAAAAACAAACAAAATGATGCCACAACACTTTAAATAAAATTGTGTGTTAGATTTATGCATGAAGGCGAATCTCACCATGCAACTGTGTTCTATTATATTATCTGTAGATCCCTGTACACACACTACAAAGAACATGCTGTGAGAATAAACTGTGTGAATAAAGAATCACTGGATTTTGTTTGAATATTGTCTAACATACAAATAGGACTTCCCATATGTGGATGTGCTGTATTTTTAGTATTTTAGATGTAGGATACACCTGTGTTTCCTTACTGTCAGGTCCTCCAGAAGCCTCCTCTCTCTTCTCTCCTCTCTCCTGGTCTCCTCAAGGTGCATTTAAGGGACTGGAAGATCCTTCATGATGGAAGAGGGGGAACAATTTCTGGGTCACAGGAGGAAGTGAGCGTAATGAAAAGCACCCTGTCTGCAAGCATTCATTCCTGATAGAATGCCTTGTTAGCATGTTACACATCGATCAGCCACAACATTATGACCACTGACAGGTGAAGTGATTAACACTTATTATCTGGTTATTATCATTGCACCTGCAAGTGAACATTGTGTCCTCAAGTTGAGGTGTTGGGCAGTTTAAGGATGTAAGTGACTTTGACAAGGGCCAAATTGTGATGGCTAGACGACTGGGTCAGCCAGGGTGCCCAGGTGGTCATAATGTTGTTGTACAGTGATTTGATAAAGTGTTTGATAAAGAACTAGACTTCATGGTTCATTCTTATTCTACCCTTTAGCAACACTTACACAGGCTCTTGTGTTGATAAGCCGTGATGCTGTTGTCAGTGATGCACTGAAGGGTAGGTAAAGTCAAAAGTATTTGGCCAATACTGAAGGTGGCCTCATTGTATTAAATTAGGCACTGTACTGAATTACAAGACCAACACATGACTACCAATTGGAAAATAAACTTTGTGCACACTAATTGCAACAATTTTTCAAACCTAATCTTGCATCACCTAGGGGCTTTAATATCAAACCTCTGCCTGTTAATGCCTGAATTTGATTTGACACAAGGAGCCCTGAAGTTGAAGCTGAGGATTTGGGAGACCAGTTTAGAGGTTGTGTGTCAGCAAAGTGGTTAGCTAAGCTACTTATCGTATTATACAGAGTTATTGTCATATTTTGCTTGGTTCTGTCTGAGAAGCCTTTATTGCAAGCACTTTCCTGTCTTCCCTGAAGGGATATGGGAGATAAATAAGAAAAGCAACACAAAAACAAGAGAACAAAAAGAGATAATTCCTTGATTCCTTGGCAATGTGGTGAAAGCAAATTGCAAAAAGCTCAGAGAAAAGATTAAGCTTTTCTTCTTTTTAACTGACTGTGGAATAAAAGTTAAAAAACCAAGGCAGCACATGCCAGCACCAACACAGTCTTCATCAAGGTCACATTGAGAGAGTTTTACATGTTGCTTTACCATTTTTAATTGCTGTCTACGAGGAAGTAATTAAACATTCTTCACACTCTAAGTTTTCAACAACACTCTGTTTACATTATTGACCCAAACTGCACTTTTACACTTGTCTGTCTGTGTCAAGCACAAATTAAGAGTGCAAGAGTTTTTGTTAATGATAAAGAAGAAAATATAATGCCATCTCCATTGTTGGCAATTCTTACAGGCAACAGAGGCAGCTGCCAAGAGCTTCACACATTCAATTGACTTTCCTATTGAACAATGCAATACAATGAGTTCCAACACTGACAAACTTTCACCGCACATAATTTCAAGGCAATGATAGAAACTCTGTCTGTCTGTCTGTAAGCACTACTATAGTATAATCCACTTCTTCTTCATTGTCCATCTTGCCACATATGCAAAGTAATTATTCATTAAATCAGCATAATATAATTAGAACATACAGTATATTGGTATTGTTTGAAGGCGAGGTATCTACATATGCACAGGCCTACCAGGCACAAGTCTCTGTTTGAAGTGACTGTCAAAATGTCTTGTTGGAAAGCTATTCAAGAAGCTAGAAAAAGATTCAAAACGACCATAAAGACACAAAAAAAACAACCAAGAGACACAGATGACTGCAAAGAGACACAAAATTACCACAAAGAGACAACTATAAAGACACATGACTACAAACAACAAAGGCTGTGTCATCTGTAGTTGTTCTGTGTCTCCTTCTGGTTTGGTCTCTTGCTCTTATATATGGCCAATTGCTGCTCCTCCAGCAAGAATTATATGCGGATTTTGCAATGAATAGTTGAGCTGCAGCCTAGATATTTGCATTTTGGTTCTACACTGTAACTCGCCCACTTAATGACTGCAGACAGCAACTTAATTGATTGATTTAGTCATCGTTTTGCTTAAATAGTCCAAATTTTGTTTTCACACACCACTGCATGAAAAGTGGAATTCCTGGCAGTTGTCACCACTGTGAATTGCTGATGATTCCCAGTCAACTGGATATTTCAGTCAGCTACAGATAACTGCCAGGAATTGCCCATAACACACAGTATAAGGTGAGAAAGTCACCCCCCAGCTCCTAGGACTGGGTAAGGTTTTCACATGTAAATGACCATGCTGTCATCTATACAAATGCAAATTAGGAGTGTGTGTGTGTCTCCACCAAAAAAGATACACAAGTCTCTGGGAGCCATTGAGTTAGATGTAAGTTTAGTAATTATTTTGTTTCCTTGTAGAAGTAATTTCAGCATACATTTTGAAGAGGCATTATGTCTTTCTCTTTTCTTTACTTTTATTATGTGTTTGGAAACTGGACTGTACCACCACACCGTATTCACCTGTTCATTGTTTACTATGAATGATAAGAAAACATAAAATTCACTTTAAAAAAAAATCTTTAATGGTGCCTGACAGTTACAAACAGTGTACATGTTTTATATAGTATAACAATATCTATATCAACAGCCTCCAAAACATTTCACATCTGAGAAGGTCTAAATTTCAGCCAGCGTGCAGAGTGGTATGACTACTGTCACCTTTTCTCTTGTACTGCTTAACTGCACAGTGGATGTGTTTACAACACATCTTCCAGCAATGCATTCAACAGGGAGAAACAATGCTGGGTGTGATGTGTCTGTTCCCTGCAAACTCCAAACTTCTACTGGCTTTCCATAAAAATGTCTGTCCGGATGGAGATGAAGCCAAGAAACTTTAGCGAGGACATGTTTGAATGCAGTAGCTTTGGACATGACATTAACAACCAAAAACTGCTTTATAACAGCTGGTCTTGGTTCAGATAGAGGGTCAATGATGGGCTCCTCAAAGCTGTTAGTGTTCGCACACCACTTAGCATATACATATGCTGATCTTTCTGCTCTAGAACCTTCTATGGAGTAAGTTACATTCAGGTATGTTACCCTTTTACATGTAATGCCAAAACGGTCAACCTTAATATAGTTATCAGGGTACATCTGATGATACATTGTCAACATTGCATGTCTGTCATGTTCATCCAAGATAATCTGGTGGAATGGAGAAAGTGGCACAACAGTACAGTTTTCCAAGAGAAGTCTTTCTGCTGACACCAAAACATTGTGCTTCACATAAAGCACATCAGTTATGTCATCACGTGAAAAAGTGCCGACCATTTGACCCCCCAAAATACTAGCAAATTCAGCTCCATATCCACATGTCCATGGCATGCTAAACTGCTGACTCTGTTGAAATTTACTCATAATCTGGACTTCAATTGACCTATTGTTGTTATTGAACTTTCCCAATAATCCATTGAAACGCTCAAATGAAAAACACCAAAAAGAATAAACTGGTCCATAGTTCAAAATACACTCCTTTAAATGAAGATGTAGTTAGGAGTGCAGTGCAATGGGCCAAACAGTTCAACAAATTTTTGCCAGAAATGTCTGTAAGTGTCTATCAGCTACTTCCAGTCTTTGGATGGATATAACTCTGGAGCAGAGTATGATACAGGCCTGCACAAATTCAAACCACATGTCATAGTGTCCTTTGTTGATAAGCCCCTTCAGACAAAACAAGGCGTAAATGGTTGTCCAGTTTTTCCATTGATCTGCTGTGAAACCTGTAAAGCCAGATGAAATCCATAAGGGAATTCTTCCAATCTCATGTGGTACTTTGACATTTTCCACCCTTGCTTGCAGTCCATCAAGGCTCTTTGTTTAAGTCTGCCATGACAGAATCACCATGGCCAGAACTTTCATCAGTAAGTTTTCTGTTTTTTCTGATACTGGTTCACACATGCTAGGATGGGTTTCACTTTGCTCTTCTGCAAGATATTCCTCCTCTTTGTCATCCTCAGCCACATCGTCATCCTATGCATGTATAAAATACAAATGCATTAGTAAAGAGAATGAAAGCCAGTCATATATGCAGACAGCCCAAGTCATTAAATACGTCACTTACGTCATCGCGTTTCGCCATCGCGTCAAAGGGGTTATCCAATCACATGGGAGGTCATGGCCGCAGGGGCGTATAAACAATAAATAAAACATATAAACAAACACAGCATGCTCTTTACAACACTTTGAATCTATTTCCTTCCTTCTCCTCCGCGAATTTCAAATTTCAAACGATGTCTGGACGGCGGCTAAACTTTTCCCCTGGCGAAACTCCAGTTTGAAGAAGTGCTGCAGAACCTACAGGCAGTCCCGTATCACAGTCTGAAAAGATGCTGCTGGTTGCCATAAGTGGATTTTCTCGGCAGCTGGCGTCCATAGATACAAAAATTGTGGCCATGGATGCAAGAATGGTGGCCATGGGGACCAGAATGGCAGACATGGAGGAAGCAGTTGCTGACTCCAGAGCATCAAACTCTGACTTTTAAGAGACGAAGGGCACACAATACCAAAATGGCGGTAAATAGATTTCTTTTTAAAGTGAATGTCTATCCCTGCTGCTTCAGCCTGGATACAGGCCTATCTGTATATATTAATGAACTTTTATGTGTTTGTTTTTTATAGGGAACCGTGCAGCGTCTTCATAACTCTGAGGGAAACGACAGCCGTTATGACCCCAAACAAGGGTAAGATTTTAAGAAAAAAAACTTGTGTACGATGCTGAGTATAAGTAAATGTAAATGTATCTGACCTGACGCTATTTTTTATTTGTTGTGACAGACTGAGCTCGCCCCACAATTCGGCTGTGACTTGTTATTTGGTGGAAACTCTCTCTGCAAGTCCAAACATGTGTGGTGTGGCCACTGGAGTCTTTATATGTAA